AAAAAAAAAAAAAAAAAAAAAATATACTACAAACTATATACAAATATACTTACAAACTTTGAAAATGGTAACTTCCGTACAGAAACACATATGTTCTAACATTAAACATTAGAGTAATGATTCCCTATCCACGGTGGGCACATGTTAATATGTCCACCGCTTATGTGGCATGCACACATTGGAGATGTTAATATGTTTTAAAAAATAAATCTCCAATGTGTGCATGCCACATAAGCAGTGGACATATTAACATGTGCCCACCGTGAATAGGGGATCATTACTCTTCAACATTATAGTAATTTTTTCATTCCTAATGTTTAAATGCCTAAAATGGCTTGATCGTTTATGAAATAATTTGTTCAAAATGAGTTATTTTGGTTAACTATAGTTAATTTTGGAAAATGTGGTATAGTGTAGTTGTTAGTAAAATTTTAATAATGTATTAAAATAATATTTAAAATAAAAGATTAAAATTGATTTGATGTAAAGTAGGAGATAAATGATTGAAAATGATTGGAAATGATAGATGATTAAAATTATGTGAGTGGATGAATAATGAATTAAAATTAATATGATGTGTAAGAATAATTAGTTTGTTATTTAATTATATGAATAATATTAAATATAATGAGGTTGAATTAAAAGTTGATTTAAATTTTAAGTATGAGATAAATGTGAGTAAATTAACTCATAAACCAGCATACCCTAAACAACTAACTAAACTTAACTGTGGGCATTAGCACGGCCGGTTCTTCCATAATATATACATAGGGGAAGTATCGGTTCGGTTACCGAACCGATAAGCGTATATCGATACCGAACCGATAATGTCGGTAACCTCGAAATGCAAAACTGATACCAAACCGATTAAAGTCGGTTACCGAAAATTCGGTAACCAAAAACTCGGTTCGGTTTCGATTTTATACCGAAACCGAACCGATGTTGAGCTCAAAAAAAAAAAAATGCTAGTTTTTATTTTTTTTCGTCAATTTTGTAATTTTTCACTTCTTACCAATTAAATACATACAAAAGACTAGGGTTGTAAACGAGCCGAGCCGAGCTCGAGCTTAAGGTGTTTGAGCTCGAGCTCGAGCTTTTAACGAGCTGAGCCGAGCTCGAGCTCGACTCGTTAAGGCTTCGAGCTCGAGCCTTAACGAGCCGATCTCGAGCTTTAACGAGCCGAGCTATAAAAAATTATATAAATTTTACTTTTCAAGCCTTAACGAGCCTTATCGAGCCGAGCCGAGTTCGGCTCGTTAACTAGACGAGCTTTAAATGAGCTCGAGCTCGGCTCGTTAAGGCTTCGAACTCAAGCCGAACCGAGCCTTAACGAGCCGAGCTCGAGCCGAGCTGAGCCAGACTCGTTTAATTTAACAGCACTACAAAAGACTCACAAATCCATTGAAGGGTTAAAAAACTTAAATTTAATATATAAAAATTGGTTTAAATATAATTATATTACGGTTTTTGTGTTATACGCAACTAATTAAAACAATATATTGCTGAACATGCAAGAAATAAAATTTGTGATACAACTCCAACTAACTTATCCAGTAACGGTAGCATCTTCTTTAGAAGGAGTGAGACTTGTAAACCGACAATATTTCGATGAGAAGGTGAATGAGGAGTAGTGTATTTTTCTCATCATTTTGAGATTTATGTAGGGTTGAACCCTTATTTCAATTTTTGAACACTGATAACTAATCCTTGTTTTAATATTTTTTAAAACAAATCTTTTGTTTTAATTTTTTTTACCCTTATCGGTTCGGCATCGATTTTAGTGAACTCTTATGGGTTCAAACCGATAGTGATTCGGTAACCGATAGTCGGTTACCGTTACAAGCGGTTGGGTAGTTTACTTTTTCCTCGGTTCAATTTGGTTTAGTTCATTTTCTTTTTTCGATTAAAAAATGTCAGCCCTGTACACATATATCTTGTTTGGCGATCAGCGGATAGCGGATAGCAGATAGCGGATTGTATTAGCGGATAGCGGATAGCGGATTATATTAGCTGATTTGACTAGCGGATTGTATTAGCGGTTTTTAAATAAGTGTTTGGTAAATAGCTGAAAGCTTATAGCTGTTTGACATTGCAAATTACCAATAAGGACATTTTATTATTCAGGGTGTATTCTTTTAATAATAATATATTAAAACATTTAATATTTTTTAGTTGGTAATTTATAAATATATATTTTTTTTTTAAAAAAAAAAAATTCTTAACACTTGATTAAGAAGTTATAATTTTACATTTTTGTAGATAAATTAATCATATGGATGACATACTATTATTTGTTAGCATCATAAACCAATGTAGATTGTAAAATAAATAATACAAATTAAAAAGTTTTAAATTAAAATTGTAGATTGTGAATCCTCTATCCCCAAAAAGCTCTTCTAATGAGTTTTTTCTAAATTAGAGTTTTGGGCCTAAAAAGTTATCGAATAAGCTATTTACCAAACAAGCCCAATAGCGGTTTTGACGGGTCAAACCTCTCAATTAAGTCCAATCCGCTAACTTATCCTCAATCCGCTATCTTCCAAATAGGGCCAATATTTCGATGAGAAGGTGAATGAGGAGTAGTGGTATTTTTCTCATCATTTTGAGATTTATGTAGGGTTGAACCCTTATTTCAATTTTTGAACAGTGATAACTAATCCTTGTTTTAATATTTTTTTAAAAAAATCTTTTGTTTTAATTTTTTTACCCTTATCGGTTCGGCATCGATTTTAGTGAACTCTTATGGGTTCAAACCGATAGTGATTCGGTAACCGTTACAAGCGGTTGGGTAGTTTACTTTTTCCTCGGTTCAATTTGGTATAGTTCATTTTCGTTTTTCGATTAAAAAATGTCAGCCATGTACACATATACTATATTGATTGAAATTAAATAGTAAACTATTCTTCCCTACAGAATAAATAAATAATTATCAAAAGTCTACATGGCAAAATAAAGTGTTCCTATTGGCTACGCCAGCGTCACTTAACTCGAAATGTTAGCGCGTCATTTCGTCACCGATCCTAACAGTCTCATTTCTTCCCGACCCGACTCATCCGAAGCGGGCGATAACGCGCCGTCACAATTCGCCACACCCCCCGGTCGTCCGCGTCTGATCACCACGCGCCGCCGGCCCCACTCTAAGTTCCCATTTCGCGTTCAGCTTTGACCGACCCCGATTCTTTTCTTCCCACAATCCCGCACATTTTTTTCGTAAACTCCGCCATACTATAAAATGGCCCCGCCGTAAATCAACACATAACAGGATTACAACCCGCATTTTCCCTGTTTATAGGCGATTTTCCTTGATGGGTTTTGTGGGTTGTCGGGGTTTCTGACGAAATACGTACATTTCTGGAGCTGTCTAGGTCTGCCGGCGATGGTGGAGGCCGCGGCCGTCGCAGATGGCGAGGATAATTGGAAGAAATCAAAAGAGGGCACAAAATGGAAATGGGCTAAGTTGGGTGCAGTTTTAGTGGCGGTGGTAGCCATAGCTATGACATCTAGGCACGCCCAGAATCAGACGTCCTGCTCATGTTCTCAGGTTTTGTTTTTTTCTTTCTTGTTCTTGTCTCTCGAGTTTTTGTAACTCTGATCTTGGTGATACATAGTTTTGCTGTGCATTTGTTTTTTGTTTTCTGTATGTAAGAACATATTGGTGTCCTGGGATTCTTGAGGTGTGACATATAGGATTGTTAATTTAATCTCCTCGATGTGTTCAGTTTGACAGAAACCATTGTTTTTTATGTGGTCCATGGATCAGTAGAGACAAAAGTTGCTCATGCTTTTCTTGGCTACTTATACAGGATTCTAGAAAATATACAGGCATTGTTGAGGATTGCTGTTGTGATTATGAGACAGTTGACAGTCTTAATGGGGCAGTACTGTATCCCTTACTTCAAGATCTTGTTAAGACTCCATTTTTCCGATACTTTAAGGTCAGTCGTGAATCTACTCGGTCAATTTTTTTTGGCGTATTGTATACTATGCTTGTATACTATGCTTGTGTAGAATTAAGTTTGTACAATGCATTTGTCCAGTTTACAAAAGATACAGCCGTGGTGCGTGGTGGCTTTAATTAATTCCGTTCAAACTATGGGTTTGCTGTCAAAATGCAGTCGTTTGCATCAACTTCGTATAATATTATTTAAGGGGAGCAACATAAAATAGGTTTTCTCTCAGTGTCCAAATTTGTTTTGGGGAAAGACTTGTGTGATCAAATATCAGTTGCAAACAAGAATATAGCATGTCCTTCAAATTGTAGATTTTTTAGGTGTTATAACTGATTCTGGCCTCATGTAATGTATTATGCTTACCAAACTAATTTGTATATGTGTCCTATTACTTCCAGCTGAATCGACCACTATAATTAATCATTAGCTTAAAGTTTCGTTCTAACACTAGCTAGGTCAGGAGTATGTTCATCACAATCAAAGTGAATAGTTTTGTTGTTTCTAGGAAGCTCAAAATTTTGGGTTATATAAATTTGTATACCTTTTAGTTTACTTCATCATTATTGTGTATTTTTGAATGAATTAATAAATGGTGTGGTTCTCATAACATTGTTACAACTATAGGATAAAGAAAACTATGTTCATAGATAATATAGGGAAATGTGAAGTATCAACCTACCCCTCATTTTCCCAACTGGGATTTCAGCATGTTAGTGAACCTGGAAACAGGATCGAGATCATGTTTTATAAATTTCATAGGATATGGATATAACAACTGATCTATGGGTTTGTAAAAATCTTTACGAAGGAACTTGCGGTTTGACCCATCAAATCCCTTGTAACTTATTGAACATGCCAGGTTAAGTTGTGGTGTGATTGTCCATTTTGGCCCGATGATGGTATGTGCAAGTTGCGGGACTGTAGTGTCTGCGAATGTCCAGAAAATGAATTTCCAGAACTTTTTAAGAAGCCAATGCCGCGTGTTCTTGGATCTAATGAATTAATATGCCAAGAGGAAAAGCCACAGGCCGCTGTTGACCGCACTCTAGATTCAAAGGTCTTTAGGGGCTGGATTGAAGTGGACAATCCATGGACTCATGAGGACGAGACTGATAATAGTAAGTACTTTTATCTTTTTTCTCATACTGCATATACCACAATCATTTTTCTTCTTGAAGATGACTTGTTTCTTTCATGTTCACACTTTTTTAAAAAAAATAATCATTTAATTTTTGTCAGTTAATGTTGTAATTATTTTTGTCTAAATTTCAGGTGAGATGACGCACGTAAATCTCCAACTAAATCCCGAACGATATACTGGATATACAGGGCCATCAGCTCGAAGGATATGGGATGCTGTATATTCTGAAAATTGTCAAAAGTGTAAGTTCTCCACTTTACATCCATAGTGTTTCCTATCTAAGCTTTCGATATAGAGGAAATGCTCCTTGGTATCCTCACAAGTTGAGGTCGAATGTTATTTTGTTTTTTATTTTATCTTTGTTGGGCCGAAGGTGGATATACTTTTCTAAAACTGATATCATTGGTTTGTCTTTAATAGGAATCTGCATGGTTATGAATTCATGCCTTCAAGCTTGTGCTGCATGCTTTAGTCTAGATTAATCAAAATGATTTATGCGCAAAAAAAAAATAATAATAAATAATAAATAAATAAATAAATAAATAAAGATCTCCTAGCTGTATATTTGAAAGTAGCCTCATATTTTTATTTTTTTATTTTTTTTGGGGGGTTTCAGATTCATCAGGAGAGATTTGCCAGGAGAAAAGAGTCTTGTACAAGTTAATTTCCGGCCTGCATTCCTCAATTTCAATTCACATTGCCTCTGACTACTTGCTTGATGAAGCTAAAAATCTGGTATGCCCCTTTTATTGGACCCTATTCTTAGTTTCGTGTTTCACATCATATTCTTCTTCTTTAATTCTATAGTCATTTGAATTGTGCAAATTTGAGCTACAGCGTTTTATGAAAAACTACCCGTAATTGAGAATGAATATCATGTTGTAAGCTTAGACAAACATACTGACCAGGAAAACTGATTGTGTTGTTGCAAATTCCAGTGGGGTAGAAATCTAGAGTTAATGTACGATCGTGTTCTGAGGTATCCTGATCGAGTGAGGAACTTATACTTCACGTTCATGTTTGTACTCCGAGCCGTAACAAAAGTGAGCCTTTCTGTATTATTTAGATGTAGCAGTTCTACGTGACACATTTGACTTATCCGTTAAATTACAAATAATGTTCAGGCCGCAAATTACTTGGAGCAAGCCGAATATGATACTGGAAATATTAACGAGGACCTTAAAGTGCAGTCCTTAATGCGACAGTTGCTCGACAATCCAAAGCTGCAGTCTGCATGTCCACTTCCATTTGATGAAGCTAAATTGTGGCAAGGAAAAGGTGGGCCCGAGCTGAAGCTGGAGATTCAGAAGCAGTTCAGGAACATCAGGTTTTTTTTACCAGATATTCATATTATGATACTTTTCACGAGCCTAGA